CACACACACACACACACACACACACACACACACACACCCTAGCCCACTCCTTGAGAACAATAGCCGTGATCAATGTGAGAAGATCAATCAAATTACAACAAAAATCAGTGAAATAAATATTTTTGACTGTTACAGAGACTGGTATAAAGATGTAGAGATATTGGGTAATGGAAATAATCAGATAATCTGTTGCATGATTTTAGACTTCATGACATAACAATAGCATTAAAAAGTGTTGATAATCAAACGCATTTTGAAAACACTTAAAGCAGCTAATAGAAATATGTTAACCACAAATATAATGTAAACATTTGATTGACCACTTTAAAAAATGTTTTAAAAGGTGTCTGTGATAAGTATACATTTTATTTAAATTAAATTCCATTTTCACATACAACCAATACAAAAACATTCTGTTAATATACCATATTAACATTTTATATTACTATTTCCATAATATGTCTTTAAAATTTGGTGTGTACATTTCACTTGTAACAAATTTGGATGCAAAACACCCATATTTGGACTAATTATATTTCAAGGGCTGATTGTTCCATGGGGCTATTGTATTGGCTAGAGCAGGTCTGGGGCATGATAGGGAAAACAGTGTCATTCTACTATTTCTCACTGTTTTTCAGCCACCTGGGTTGGAGGAGGTTACATCAATGGGACGGCTGAAGCAGTGTATGTACCAGATTATGGTCTGGCTTGGGCTCAGGCACCAATTGGATATTCTCTTAGTCTTGTTCTAGGTAAGTAAAAGTTAAATCTCCATGACTCATTCATCAAAGAATAAAGAAAAGTAGTGTAAAAAAACAAGTAAAATAACAAGTTAAACAATGCGAATAACTATTGTGGAAAATAATGTTCCCTGAAATCTTTAAGTAGCTGTGACCAGAAATTATTAAGTAGTAGGAGGCTAATGCTTGGTTTATCTGATCTTGTGTTTATGAACTATATAAGAGGAAAAAAGTCATCCCCATGTGGCTATTAGAACAGTGACTTTCTTAGTATAACGATGTTCTATTTCATTCAAAAATAATGTGAATAAGTCACAACAATGAATCAATGTGAATCATATCTGAAATTCTTTTTCTGAATCAAGTTAACAAAAGATCAATAACATTACATCATGGAAAATTCATTTTGGTACTTTCAAACTGCTTTTATAAAAAATACCATTCTTTAAAAATCATATCATTGTGAATGAGGGGGAGTGCGGACCATCTGTAGGCAACTGGACATCCCCTTACAGAAGGGTTGCGGGGAGGAGATGAGCCAGTCAGCGTGCAGTGTAACAACAATGAAACATACAACTTTCCTCTAGTTCTTTAATTTTTCCTCCCCCACTATCACCATCCCAATTCTACCTTACAAATCCAGCTAGACAAGAGTTTGTACACTGGTACAGATAAGAACTGGAAACACAGGGAATCCAGGACAGATAAACCCCTCAAGACCAATAAAGAGAGTAGCAGTACCAGGAGGATACGAGGAAGGTAGGGTGGAAAGGGGGAACCGATCACAAGGATCTATAGATAACCCCCTCCCTGGGTGAGAAACAACAAAAAAGTAGGTGAAGGGAGACATCAGACAGTGTAAGACATGACAAAATACTAATAATTTATAAATTATCAAGGGTTCGTGAGGAAGGGAGAAGGGGAGGGGGAAAATAAGGAGCTGATACCAAGGGCTGAAGTAGAAAGAAAATGTTTTGAGAATGATGATGGCAATAAATGTACAAATGTGCTTGACACATGGATGGATGTATGGATTGTGATAAGAGTCCCCAATAAAATGATTTTTTAAAAATACTGTTCTTATTCACAATATCCAAATATTATGTTTATAAATACAAATGCATCAAATCATTTTAATAAACATTGTTCTCATCAACACATTTCAATGTATATGCTCCGGATCTGCTATCCAGCTGTCCTTTGGGCACATACAATGTTAAGCGCACTAAGAAATGTATACTTAATTGCTAAATATTTCACATTCCAAACTGGTTCCTTAACATATATGTGTTTTTAGAAATCATTTTTTAAGAAACTATAGCCTAGTAAACAGGTTGGAAAAAGCTAATGATTTTTTTATTTTCTTACAAACAATTTATGTTAGGTGGTCTGTTCTTTGCAAAACCTATGCGCTCCAAAGGCTATGTGACAATGCTGGACCCGTTTCAGCAGATCTATGGAAAACGCATGGGCGGTCTCCTATTCATCCCAGCTCTGATGGGAGAGATGTTCTGGGCTGCAGCAATTTTCTCTGCCTTAGGTAAGTAGGAATGGCATCTTTTTCTGTGTCTCTTTTGTTGACTGAACATCAAATAAACAACTTTATTTTCTTCAGTTTGGGTGTCTTAGATTTTTTTTTCACTCAAACCACCTTCTTTTATCCATAAGAGCTTAACAGAAAATTCACATTCACCTGCAATCTCGTGATAAAGGTTAAAAAAAATTTCAACTGTTTTTGTTTTTAACCTGAATTGCTGACTTATCTTACAAGAATCAAAAGTGACTTTTAGAAGTCATATATGATTTTGAACTAAGCTTTAATTAATTAATCAATACTAAATACTGCAGTTTCTCAAATAATTTTTTAAAAGAACAATGGTATGTGAGCCTGTGGGTAGTTGGGAACCTAATACATATTGCTTTCAATGAAATAAAATGGTGAGTCAATTTTTAAAATTTTAATAAATCATTTTACTGGGGGCTCGTACAACGCTTATCAAAATGTTTTGAAAATGGTGATAGCAACAAATGTACAAATGTGTTTGACACAATGGATAGATATATGGATTGTGGTAAGTCAATTTTTATATTCTCTGCTCTTCCAATAAACCTCCTTTTGTGGACTAAGGACTTTTAACTCCCACTGCTTTTCCTTCTAATCGTGTTTTGATAATTAAATAGAAAACTAATCCAAATCAATCTGAACTCCCTTGAGAAAGGTATTGCATGTGTTTTTAAAAGTTCATTAAACCACATGTCAAAATGATAGACATGAAGTATTTCAATAAGTTAATATCTCAAGTCAGAGTACTATGGCTTATGAGTAGGAAAATTACATATGGTGAAAGATAACAAGAATTTCTCCTCATGTAGATCTGTTTCCTCCTGTTTCCGAGTTTCTCCTCACCTCTAATCTGATATTAGAGGTGCAGATTATTGTCATTGAATCAGACCCTCAATCAAACCTTATGTATAAATGAATGAAACACTGTCCTGCCCACTACTGTCTTTATGATTGTTCTGTGGAGTTGCACTATTTTGGCTAGTTCAGAATAAATGAATAAACTCAGATTACTGATGTTTCAATAAAAAGGAGAGTTCCAATCACTGATTCAGTCGATCCCTCCACAGTCCACTCTTCCCCCCACACTGAGCTCCTACCTATCTACATCCTGTCAGTTCAGCTGAACTCTGGAATCTTATCCTGGAGTGCCTGGACTCCCATAATATGTCTTCATCACTTGTCCTGCACCCCACCCTGTCTCTGTATTACTCCTACCCTGTCCCACAGACCAGATACCCTTAACCTGCTGAAGACAACACGCTACCTGCTTACAGTTCTGCCTACCTCCAGTACTCACCATATGATAGCCAGATTCATCTGCCTGAAATGCAAACCAAGTCATGTCCAATTTCTGCTTAAAACCAAGTAATTCAGTGAGGTTCTGGATATTTTATGACCGAATCTGGATGGTTCTTGCTATTAGTTCCATCTGCATTCCACTCATGGTCAGCCACCCAAGTCCAACAGAAGGAAACATTGCCTGGCCCTTTGCCCGTCCCACAATTGCTATGGTTAAGCCCCTTGTTGTAGCTAGTGTGATCTATTTGTTGAGGGTCTTCCTCTTTTTGCTGCCCCTCTACCCTGATTAGTCTCTCTCATGAATAGCCCCCTCCTCCTGTCCCACTCTACTTTGCAAAATGGAACTCCCCCTCTCTTGTCTCTGACACTTTGCAGTCCCAGGTGCTCTCGGCTTTGCAGCCATTTTTCTTCTGTCACCATCTTCGGGACTAACTAGTAGATGTTCAACACATCGCCTTCCAGACGCCACTTTCTTACAATAGTCAGTCCTGAACTTGAGTGTTTTTCCAATAGATTTCATTTGGACCTGGTCATTTTTGTACAAGGATGTACTACTTCCTATGATTATTTACCTGTTTGTCTATTTCATGTATAATCTCTAACCTCAAAAATAGATTATGAATATCTTCAAGTCATGACTGTGTCTTCAGTTATAACATTATGACAAATTAGTGAAGAATAAATTACTACATTATGCCTCTAATTTCTTTCAACAACAACAAAAGAGTGGTAGAAGAAATTTTTCAATGTATATTCTTTTCTCTTCTATGTAATCTCATTATCTTGTAAAGTACAGGGTTGTGAATATTTTTAGGGATCAAAGGAACCCTGATGGTGTAGTGGTTACACATTGGGCAGCTAAATGCGAGGTCAGCAGTTTGAAACTACCAGCCTCGCCAAGTGAGAAAGACGGGGTTTTCTACTCCTGTAAAGAGTTACCAATGGTGCTAAAGGAAGAAATTCAAGTAGCACCGAATGCATTAGGCAAAAACAAGACTCCAGGAATTGATGAAATGCCCATTAGAATATTTCAAAAAGCTGATGAAGCACTGGAATCACTCACTTGTCTGTGCCAGGAAAATAGGAAGACAGCTTCTTCGCCAATTACTGGAAGGGATCGATATTTGTGCCCATTTCAAAGAAAGTTGACCCAACAGAATAGTCAAACTACAGAACCGTATCATTGATATTACACATAATTACAATTTTGCTAAAGATCATCCAACAATGATTGCAGGAGAATATTGGCTTCGAACTGCCGGAAATTCAAGCCTCATTCAAAAGAAGATGTGGAACAAGGGATATCACTGCTTATATCAGATGGACCTTGGCTCAAAGCAGATAATACCAGAAAGAGGTTTTCTTGTGCTTCATTGACTACACCAAGACATTCAACTGTGTGGGACATAATAAACTGTGGATAGCGTGAGAAGAATGGGAATTCTAGAACACTTCATTGTTCTCATTCAGAATGTGTACATGGATCAAGAGGCAGAACAAGGTAATACTGCATGGTTTAAAATCAGGAGAATTGTGTGTCAGAGTTTTGTGCTCTCGCCATACTTTTACAATCTCTATGTTCAGAAAGCAAACATAGAAGCTGGCTTTTATGAAGAAGCATGTGGCATCAAGATTGGAGGAAGGCTTATTAACAATCTCCAGTATGCAGATGACACAATCTTGCTTGCTTGCTGAAAGTGAAGAATTGAAGCACTTGCTGATGAAGGTCAGGGATTTCAATCTTCGGTATAGATTTTGACTCAGTGTGGAAAAGAGCAAAATATTCACAACTGGACCAAGAGGTATCACCATGATAAATGGTGAAAAGGTTAAAATGGTCAAGGATTTTGTACTACTGTATCCACAATCAATGCTTAGGGAAGCAGCAATCAAGAGATCAAAAGACATCATATTAGGTAAATCTGGTGTACAAGACTTCTTTAGAGTACTGAGGACTAAAGTGCGCCTGACCCAAGCCAAGGTATTCTCCATTGCCTCGTGAGCATATGAAAGTTGGACATTGACTAAGGAAGACTAAAGAAAACTCAATGCACTTGAATGGTGGTGCTTGAGAAGCGTATCGACAGCGCCATGGACTGCTAAATCAACAAACCTCTGTCTTGGAACAAGTATGGCCACAGTGCTCCTTCGAAGGATGGTGAGATTTTCTCTTACATACTTTGGACTTTTTGTCAGAAGGGAACAGTCTCTGGAAAAGGACCTTGTGCTTGGTAAAGTGGAGGGGCAATGAGAAAAGGAAAAGCCTTCAAGGAGAATGACAGACACCATAGCGGCAACCATGGGCTCGGGCACAGGAATGATTGCAATGCTGGCACCGGACGGTGCAGCGTTCTGTTCTGTTGTGCACAGGGTCTCCATGGTTGGAACTGACTCAAGGGCACCTAACAACATCAACAGAGTTAGGGTGTCAGAATCTCACATTGGCAGTTCTACCCTCTCCTATAGGGTTGAGATGAACCATTATAGACTCAATGGCAGTGACTTTTTGAACTTGCTACAAAGATAAATTAATGCTAAGGAGAACCTTTTGTGTTATTCTGGGTAGACTAGAGAAACAAATTCATAAACACGCATATGCATATAAGAAAGAACTTTATATACAAGAGCAATTGAATATTTAGAAAACACCCCAGCCCAGTCACGTCCATAAGGACAATATTAGCCCTATGGGGCTAATATGTCCGATACCAATCTATAAATTCCTCTAAAGACTCACAAAATGCATGGAAGGGCACTGAATGCAGGAAGATCACAGGCCAGTGGGTGGAAAGCCTTGTGGATCCAGTGGTAGTGGAAGCATCTCAGCACTGGCAGGGGTCTCCACGTGGCTCCTTCACCTCCAGGGCTCTAGCGTAGTTCCATGTGTCTCCTCAACAGGAATGTCTTGCAGGGAGTGAGCATGTGTCCAGCCTCCAGTGAGCTATTTATTTCTTTAGTGCCTCCAAATTAGCTCTTCATGCTGCCACCTGATTGACAGACTAAACTCCAACCCTTCACTCTTATGTCTCCATCTGACAACAGATTATGTAGCTACCACACCTTTCTTGGTCCTTGGATTTGTTTCCCTATAATAAAATCATGGGCGACCTGTTGACTCCATACCCTTTCTTCAAGGGGAATTACAAAACATCCCGAATGTCAAGTTCCTTCTAGAAGGTCAATGAAACTGGGAGTGCCACCACTTTCCCTGATGAGCTATGCGTATGTTTTGGCACCTAGGCACTTACTCTTATCTCCTATAGCAAATTGAAATAGAGTGATTAAATCTATAACCAACCTGTAAATTATCAGATAAGATATTTTACTTTTGTTTCATATATTGTAGTGTATAAACAGATCACCGGGGTATCGGAGAAGACCTCCATAATGTCAGATATTATGTTACACTCCCCTTTCCTTCTCAAGTCCCCAAACAATTTCCTTTCACTTTCTTGATCCTAAAGTGTTTAACAGGTAAGTAAGTGACTTGGGTGTGGGGGTAAAAAGAAATGCTTGTTATAAAATACTATAATAACTCAGTGTCAATGCTGCACTTTCCTGGTGCTGTATACTGATACTCAGCAACTACCACTTCTCTTATAGCCTAATGAAATTATGGAAACAATTACACTTTTCTTCTTGTATAGCTTCTCATTACCTAAGAAGCAATAGGAATATATTTGCTGCTGGTTTCCACACCAGAAAATTTTGGTTTGATGAATAAACTACCTGCTGACATATCAAGAAAAGAGTAGGCTGAATATCTAACAGAAAATACAAACTGATCGCTCTCACTGAATAAAAATTAACTTATGTAACAGAGTTCTGAAAAGAGACTATAATTAATGAGTTAACAATTCTAAGCTAATCTATAAATATAAAGGATAATAATTAAACTCTTAAATCTGTTGAAAGTGGCTGTAGGTACAGATACCTATTTATGTGTCCATGTGAAATATGTTAATGTCTATGTATAATGAGCACACACATATACCCTTACACATAGCAAGGAACAGGTACTATGCTCTGGTAAGAAAAGTGTGAGTCTATTTTTAAATTAACACTTAATTTTGCTTCAAAATTGATAACTGGACATAAGTCAGTTATTGTTTATTAGAAATGACTTGGCACACTTAAGAATTGAAAAGCATAAATTCACTACCATTTTACTGTGAATGTAGGTGATTCACCACTGAAGTATAGTAGAGTCCTAAATTATCTACTTAGCATTCCCAGAACTTTTAAAAGAAACTTATATTTACAGATCTTGCAATTCAAATTCAGTAAATACTTCACATCTTAAAACTTTCCTTACGATATTTGAAAAATAGGAGAGTGGATAGTTTACTGATTATAAAGACTTATTTTTCTCATGGCTATAAATGTGTATATTGTATATATTTAAATCACAGATTTAGATGCTAAAATTATTGGACATTCTTCTGATGGATTTAAAAATGTCTTAGTCTGTGATGAATCCTACCATGCATTTCACATGGAACCCTGGTGGCATAGTGGTTAGGGGCTGGGGTGCTCACTCCAAAGTCAGTAAGGAGTTCAAGACCAGCAGACACTCTTCAGGAGAAAGAGAACGCTTTCCTGTAATCTCATCCTGCAGAGTTACAATCCAAGAAATCCACAGTTTACCCTGTCCCGTAAGGTCACTGTGAGGAAGAATTGACTCATGGCAGTGAGTTTCTTGTTTTTATCATGAATTTTAGATGCCCACTACAAAAATAAATATGTGAAGCACAACTTCAGGGATGAGGATGTGATTCTAGATGCATATACAGGGGTGTCAGGGAAGTGCAGGACTGCTCAACAACTGGAAGAGTGGTGGTTCAAACTCACCCGTCGCTCTGTGGGAGAAAAAAATGAGGCTTTTTTGTTTCTGTCAAGATTTACAGCCTTGAAAACCCTCTATGTGGTTGTTCTGTGTCAGAATTGACTTGGTGGCAATGGGTTTTGTGCTGTGTGTGTGTGTGTGTGTGTGTGTGTGTGTGTGTTCCTTGAGTCACCTCCAACTTATAGGGAGCCAGCAGGACAGGGTAAAATGTCCCCCTAGGATTTCTAAGGCTGGAAATATCTATGGAAACAGATCACCCCATCTTTTGCTCTCAGAACACAGAACAACTAGTGAGTTCTCACCATGGCTAACTGTTCTCATTAGGGATATATACATACTTGCATATATAATTTGCTGTTTTGGTGTTGTTGTGGCCTCTGAGTTGATTCTGACTCATAGTGACTGTGTTATTCAGGGTTCCCTAGAGAAACAAAACCAGAATGCTGATACTTCTATATATATTTATACAGATAGATAACATAAGAAATAGACAGTTAATTAAATTATAAAGCAGTACAAATGGCTCAGTGTAACTCACTCCCGTGAGACAGTTGTGACACACTGGCAGTCCTTCAAGTCTTGAGGGCAGATCACGGCCCTTCTCGCCCACCGTATCGGGGACGTGGAGCATGAGCGCACGTGTTAGGGCCCAAAAGATGGTGAACTATGCCTGTGCAGGGCAAAGCCAGAGGAAACTCTGGTGGAGGTCCATTGCGGTCCTGACGTGCAAATCGGTCATCCAGCCTGGGTACAGGAGCGAAAGACTAATTGAACCATCCTCTGCTACTATAATGTGTAAGTCTGGGTACTTCAGAGAAACAAATCCACAGAAACTCATGTATAAGAGAGAGTTTTATATAAAGGGTAAGTGTGCATCAAGAAAACATCCCAACCCAGTGCTGCCCAAGCCCACAAGTCCAACATTAACCCATATGCCCGACACCAATCCACTAAGTCCTCCTCCATCTCACAAAACAGACGCAATGATGCCAACTGCAGGAGGAAAGCCAAATCAGTGAGCATGTAAGCGGGGGTCTCCACACGGGTGCTCCAGCACCCAGGGCTGTATCAGGGTAGGTCCATGTGGCTTCTCCTCAGGGATGTCTTGCAGGAAGTGAACCTTGCCAGCTAAAGCAGGCAACTGGCTAAGGCAGCTGCACCCTGGTCCGACCATCACAAAGCAAGGGATGTGAGAACTAGAAAGGCTAGGCTCACCTAGCCATTTATCCCTCCACCCTTCAATTAACCCCACGTGTTTATTGGCCAGGTTGGCACAATAAACTAACTACCTCAGTGACCGTGCAGGTCAAAGTAGAAGTGCTGCATAGAGTTTCTTGGGCTACGGCTTTGTTTACAGAAGAGGAGCTCTGGTGGCATGGAGGATTACACACTGGGCTGCTATAGCCACAGGGCAACACAAGGTCAACAGCATGAAGCCATCAGCTGCATCATGGGAGAAAGATGAGGCTTTCTACTCATGTAAAGATGTACAGTGTCGGGAACAAGGGCCCTTCTACTCTCTTATAGCATCGCCAGGAGTCAGATTTGACTTGATGGCAGTGAGTTTGGAGGGCGTTTTGAATCTTTAAGGGAACAGATTGCTAGGTCTTCTACCCCCTGGTAAATTGAACGGTGCTTTTCTGTCAGCTGTGGCGCACTTAACCATTGAGTCTCTATAGTTAACTTAATTCAAATTAATAAAAAATGTTTAAATATCAAAATTCAAATTCAGATGAGCTGTTTTAGGCATCTGATACACTTCACATGGAAAATATCCTGCTGTCCCTAAGCGTTCCACGTCTTCTCAAACAGGAAGTGGAATCCAACTGACTCGAGCACCGCGCTCTTACGTTTCGCCTTTTTCAGGAGCCACCATCAGTGTGATCATCGATGTGGACGTGCACGTTTCTGTCATCGTCTCGGCGCTCATTGCCATTCTGTACACCCTGGTGGGCGGGGTCTATGCTGTGGCCTACACCGATGTGGTTCAGCTCTTTTGCATTTTTATAGGACTGGTAAGTAATGGGTTTTTAATTTGCTTTATTGATAAAACATTTTATGCTTTATCATATAGTCAACAAAAATGACTATAAATTTTATTTCCCATCATGATAAGTGCACAATAAGTCACATATTGTATACAAGTTTATATTTTTGTATATGAGCTAATTTAATTAAAAACTCCAGACAATGTGTAAGAACTGGACGTGAAAGTGTGGCCTCACTTTGTTTCTTAGACAAACCTGTAACTTTCTTTCCTTTATGAAGGAAACTTATGTGTGATCATTGAATCTTAAAGTCAACACACCCTCCTCAGAGCCTAAAAACTATCTAGTGCTAATCTGCATAAATCTCTTAATTTAAAGAAGTGGTTTAATTATATAAGGTACTAGGAAGATGTATTATTATAAATCCTATATTAAATAATACAGGTGTAAATAAATACCTTGTGAAACGAAGAGTACTACATAACTATGAAATGTGAGTTGTATTAAAATAAGTTTTAAACTAAAGGCATCATTTACTATGTCATAGACGCATTACTTATTTTTAATCTCACATCTTAAAACATAAATATTATCATTAGACCTGAAATAACATAAGCACCTAAAATATATCAAAGGTGTTTCTTCTGTGTTGGTGCTGTAGTGGGCGCTGTCACACACAGGATCGCATGGCGTGGGCCAAGACATGGACTCAGCCTGCTAAAGGGAAGATCCGTGACTCATCTTCCCAAGAATACCCAAGCCACCTGAGGATTTGCCTTTATCTTTATCATACTGAAAGGCTGTTGATGCTATTACAGTGGTTTATAATGAATCTTATATTCATTTTTCTGCTTTCTAATATCTTGAATAATATTCACTAGGAAAATGTAAGCAAACTGACAAAAGATTAGTTTGAAAGCTTAATTAAATTTACACATATTCATAATGCTAGAAGATATCCACTTTTACTCCTCTGCATTTTACTTGAATTTCATGAAATTCTGTTCAGTCTTATTTTAATTAAATTTGATAATAATTCATTTGTTCAAAGATTTCCATCCTATTTTTTAAATTGCCAACATCAAGAACACAGTGCTGAAATTCTTAATTTTCTCTAGTATCATCGTAAGCTTCCCAAAATGAGACAAAGCACAGAAACAAATCTCTTTTCCGAATAACACAGGTGAGATGCATTTGACAATAACTGATGCTCTTGAGATTTTATGAAACACCATTCCAAAGGATGAATGCATTTATAGATGACATATGTGATCCCTCATTGCTTTACATGAAAGTAAAACACAAACATAGAAATCAACATGACACTAATATATATGATAGAATGTTCTTCTGTTGCAGTTGCAAATGCAGTTGCAACATATTCCGTTGGTAGCAAATTAAGGATTTTTTCAGTTGGCACAATTAAAGTTATATATTACCTATTTTTTGGTCTTTAAATCTCTTTACATGCATACTAAATAATTAATCACCTTACACTTTAAACCATCACTTCATCTCAATTTCTCCGAATCTGTTGATTTTTTTTTTCATCATCTTTCTGTCTCCCACGCTAAGCCTTGGGTTCATCTGTTCAAGTTCCCTCTCCCTTCTTCACCTTCACGCTCTATTGGAACCAATGGGCTGTGGGTTCGCTCTTAGTAACCTCTACTTAAGACCATTATATTGCCATTTTCAACGTCACCACGTGCTTCACATCTTTTCTGGTTATTAGAGTACCACATTATTGCTCTTCCAGATCTTCAACTACAGCGAACCCTCGCCACTTCGCGCTTCGACTTCCGCGGCTTCACTCTATCGCGGTTTTTGCTTAACAGCGCATGCTCTGTCATTACTGCCACTGATTGGCTCATACTGTACACGCTTGATGCCATAAATAATATAATAAATAATAAATGATAATTGTAACGTCCAAAATGTTTTACTGTATTTTCCCTTTTTCACTTAATAAATTGGGTAATACGCGTGTAATGGTGACTAAAGGGTGTTTTTTCATGTCCTCTATGCTCTAACTATGAAAACATTTGATTTACAAATAAGGAATCCTACTTCGCGGAATTTCATTTATCACGGTAGGGTCTAGAACCGATTAACCGCAATAAACGAGGGTTCACTGTATATTAAAGCTAAGAAGAAATTCCACTAGTTTTCAGTTGCCTTCAGAATGACATACAAATTTAACTTGCAGTTCAAGACTTTTTCCACATATCTCTATATATTCCCTGTTCTTTAAGTCGCCCCATACCAGGAAACACAGGCACACCCTGCGCCTCCCCCCATATTGTCACATATTACCATCATGATCATCATCATCACGGACTCTTCTATTTCTCCATTGTTCAACTTGATCATCTCTTTTCTTTAATGCCTCCTTCTTCTACCTCTTAATACAGTATCTAACCTTGAAGGTTTCTTTCACCTGCCATTTCTCTACCATATAGTTTATAGTCAATAATAAAACATAACAAAATTATTATACACGATGTTCTTAAATTTAATGTTGTTTTCAGGTGACTTGTCCTAGAGGTCAGATGATGGAGTGTAACTAATCTCAGAAGGAGACGTTTCCTTACTTTAACTTTTCTAAATCTGTATTCCAAAGTACCACTCAGGGAACATGGTTTCTGATCCTACTCTGTCTTAAAATGAAAAAAAACAAACAAAAAACTTTACTGTGAATTAGGAGAGGAGGGTGTACATTTCAGATCCTAAGTTTTTTATTCAACAACCTAAACTTTATATCAAACTTCCCAACGGCTTTCCCAGCCCCAGCCCTGCCTGGTCTTTCTCTGTCTTAGTAAGATGAAAAGCTGAGTTGTGTGATCTGGAAGGGAAATAACTAAGAGTATTAATCTCTCCTCCACTAAATCTTGGAAAGCACAGCCTAATGTTCTAACCTCATTCTGTGGTTACAGTGGATCAGTGTGCCGTTTGCATTGTCACATCCTGCAGTTACTGACATTGGCTTCACGGCTGTACATGTCAAATACCAGGAGCCTTGGCTGGGAACCGTTGAACCATTTGAAGTCTACACGTGGCTTGATAGCTTTCTGTTATTGGTAAGCTATGTTTTGACCTAATGAATACAGTCTAATTAGTTCTAAAATCAAATATATTCTTAAGACATTCATATGTACAAGTAAAATTCCCCTATTGGATTCATAATGCTATTCTGAAATAACAATCCTATTTTGAAAGGCCAAAGAAGCCCTGGTGGCACAGTAGTTCCATGTTGGGCTGTAGTTCACATGGTTGGCAGTTTGAAACCACCAGCAGCTCCTCGGGAGAAAAACTGGGCTTTCTACTCCTATGAACAGTTACAGTCTCAGAAACCCACAGGGGTCACTTTAATTCAGCATTGACTCAATGGCAGTGAGTTGGGTTTGGTATAGCCCCAGTGGTGCTGTGGGCTAGGTATTACTGGTTCAAATCCACCAGCCACTACATGGGAGAAAGATGAAGCTGTCTGCTCTGTCAAGAACTGTGGTCTGAGACACCTATGTGGGGCAGCAATGAGTCAGAATCAACTCAGTGGCAGTGGGTGTGGTGTGGGTTATTGGAAAGGTGGAGTCACATATTGACCACGGCAGATTGGGCCTCAATGCTGGAGAACAAACAAGACCGTACGAGGAGAAGAATCCAGAGTGATAGGTGTGCGGTACAGGCAGCATTTCTGTTGTGGTTGAAGTTAGGGATCACTTCATTCTAACCCAATACCTCCCCTAATCTGCGAACCAATTCAGCTAAAAGTCTTTGTCTTTTGGGTAAAGACAATAAGAGTACATTTCTTCTGAATAAAAGCAACTCCTTCTTGAATGATGGAGTAAGCAAATTAGTGGTGTCATATAATGTACATGAGACAAATTACTTTGAGGTTTGACAAGAAGTATCTCCCAAGAAAGTTGAGTTGAGATGAGCCTTGGGAAGCCAGAAGCAGTTTGAGAACGTGGAGAACTTCGGTTTCAAAATGAGGGCAGATCGTGCATGAAGGTATTACAAGAAAATCTAATGCAACCTACTACATTTTACTTTCTTTTCCTAATTAGAGGACTCACTCTCACTCACTTACTCACTCACTCACTCACTCACTCACTGCCATTGAGTTGATTCTGACTCATAACGACCCTACAGTCCAGAGTAGAACTGCCCCTGTGAGTTTTTTGAAACTGTAGCTGACCTTGAAGAATACAACCCAAAACATAACCACTACACCACCAGGGCTGTTTTAAAATTGCACACACTTTATTTGATTTCAAGTTAAAAATAGGTTACCTTTATATAAAAATGTAAGAGGAACTGAGTTAATTTTGTTTCCTCTTTAAATAATTCACATTGTTTTTCTGATTTTGCTTTTATTTACAGGAACTTCCTGGGTATTATTAGCATTACATAAATACAATGAATGTATTTGCCGCCGTGGGGGTGGTGTTGCATAATATTGAATACCTTCTTTTATTCAATTCAAAATTGTAAAAGTTTTAGAAAAACGAGTGCCAAAATATTTCCTAATCCTTAAAGGAAGAACCCCTCCAATGCCCAGTTGATAACATCCTTGTTTTCATATGTTCCTGCTTCCTTACCAGGAACGGTAGCACATACTAGAAGAGACAAGGGGGACAACTTGTTTGCTTTTAAGCCTGCTTATGTGAAAGAAAAGAGGATACCTCAAGGAATGTATGCTATTTGTTAAGAACCACACCATTGACGGGGCAATGGATTGAAGTAGGAAAGCACAGACTTCACAAGCATACCCTATGTGTGATACATCAAACTCATCCATTTCTCCCTTCGTTTCTACAAGTCTGCGTTGAACTTCTACTTCATGCTAGATAGAGGACTGTGACTATAATCCATGCAAAATATCTCTCCACCCTTTTCTGAAGCACCCCCATTGGACCCTCCTCTAATCACACCAACACAGAGCCCCTCATGGCTTCTGAGGAGTTTTGTTTTGTTTTTACCATGTATATTCGTTACTTTTCCAGGTACTATTTTCTCTATCTTCACATGATAACAGCCTTTCAGCGATCACGGACCAGCACAAACGTCATCTCTGTACATTTTCCCTGCTGACCCTGCAGTTCACCGTTACTCTCACATTTGCCCCAGCTAATTTATTGCTTCTTAATTTTGTTTTTATACATGTACCTTTTGGTTATATCTAACACTTATAAAAATTATAAGCACATTCGGAATATGGGCATATGTATTTTTCAATTGCTCAGATTTACTGTACTAATGTATTACTGAAGCCATTTGATAACAAACAACTATTTAATACTAAAAAAGTTTAAATAGAACTTCTAACTCTTCATTTTGATGACTCGTAGATTTCACGGAACACTGTGCACACTCTAGTTTAGAGAATAGTGTAGGGCATGGGTACTCTCATTAGAAAATGAACTAGAGGGGAACCATGCTTTCCTACCACGACACCCTCAGAGCCTGACCTTGCCTGGTATGGGGCTCATGTCCACAAATAATTCTCCACTTATATTCAGTCAAAGTAAGTCATACTTTCATAGTCTCAAGTTTTCCCAAGATTTTTATGATAAGTACGATGTCCAAATGAAAATAAATCATTCTGATACAGCTTAAAATAGGTAAATAAAGGAAATGCAAAGATAAGTCTATGTAACTACAAGGAAAACAAATGCGGAAATTCTGTGCTATGGAAAATGTAAGTGTGACAATCGCACATGAATTACGATGTGTGGCAGGTGGGATTGTTTGCTAGTCTTTGGAGCCATAGTTACTATCATTCTAAATGTGATTCTAATAATGGAGGCTATCCGTCTCAGCTCCAGAAGTGAGTCCGTGTGATTTCTGTGCAGATTCTGGGTGGAATCCCGTGGCAAGCCTATTTCCAGAGGGTTCTGTCTTCATCCTCAGCTACTTATGCTCAAGTGCTTTCCTTCCTGGCAGCTTTCGGGTGCCTGGTGATGGCCCTACCAGCCATTCTCATCGGAGCCATTGGGGCATCAACAGGTACATCTCTTGTAACGTTGCTAGTTGACCAATGTAGCACTCAACTCAAATCCAATTAAGGTGCCTATGACCACGGGGAGAGCTGCCTTCCCTCTGACTCCTAGATGTTTCCCTATCTGTCTATGGTTTAGCATTCAACACAGGACCTTATAGCTCGCCAGTCTCCAGAGATTGGCAGACTGCTGAGATGTTTCCCTATCTGTCTATGGTTTAGCATTCAACACAGGACCTTATAGCTCGCCAGTCTCCAGAGATTGGCAGACTGCTGCTCCAACAGAAACACAGTTATGAGGACACACCTCAGATGTAAATATCTGTATTTATCAGCTAGATGTGCTCCTCTCAGCAATGGTTCTCAACCATGGTTGTGCACTGAAATCTCCTAGAGAAGGCAGGGGGCATTTGTTATAAAAGATGTATCACCTACCTGTTTAAAGCGGGAGAAAGATTTTACTTAAATAGAATAGAGCCAAGTATCAGTGTGTTTTAAGAAACTCCCTTGATGATCCAAAGTGTGGCCAGGAATGAGGGCGACTGGCTAGAAGACATTTGTTTGTGTTTATCTTGATCACCAAAGCACCCTGTGAACTGGAAAATATTGCTTTATGTTTGCAGCAGTTGGTTAATTAAGAATTTCCTTTCCTAGAATAAAATCTCAATAATTATGTTGAGTTATTTTTATGACTCAGGCACTATGTAACTCATAGCATACTTATCAATCATCTGATTACTACTCTCTGTAGACTACTTTTCAAAAACTTCTTTTTAATTTGATTGAACTTATTAATTACCTCTGACCTTTATGTTCATTTGCTATATACCTTTCATGAGCACTTATAGAAAACTTGTCAACTAAGCTATATTCAGAGGATTTTACTAGGTAATGATAATTAAAGCAAATCAATGAATGCCTATACTACTCACCAGTCAGTTTGTTGTACTGCTGTGGCTTAGAGACCTATCATGGTTTATAGTATATATTATCCATCCCAGCTGCACATCCAGCAAACCATAAATACCCAACATGATGGCTGGCACAGAAAGCATTCAATGCTTCCTTGACCATAACATACCATTGCTTTCACACGCAGAAAACAGCTGGCCATTTGTGTGTGTGTTCGTGCACCAGTAGTTTGATTTGTTTGTTTTAAGGATAGCAAACTAATAAAAATATATATATAACCTGCGCTTCACTTAGAATACATCTGCCTTCTTTGTTGTCATTTTTAGTAGCATCCCATTCCAGTTAATACTATAAAATTGATTTTACCTAAGCTTGCCTTTGAACCGTTGCAATGGAAGATAGAAGAAAAATGACAGACTCCAAGAAAAAACATTTTTATTTGGTGTTGTGATCATGACGTTACATAAGTTCAGCAAATAAAAAAATCAACTCTATTTAGGGGCTGCTGCAGAGTCTATTGTATTCTTCAACTTGTGTGATCATTGAATACTGAAAGAAACAAACAACTATTTTCAAAGATAAAGTTTGGTTCAAGTCCTTCTATGATAAACAGAAACACAAAACTTTTATAAAAAATTAACTTCATGTCTGCTTGTGCTTTTTATTCAATGAAAGTATGTTGCCCTCAATATAGAATACCACCCACCTCAAGTAGGTGGAATTATTTGCATGGAGGCTGCAGACAGCGGAAAAAATAATGTTGAGGTAGCTTTAAACCCAAGTTACATAGAGGAAGTCCACAGGTGACAATAGCCCCACTGCTGTCTGTACAGTTGATGTAAGCATTTACATATGGTCACTGAGCCACCGGGTTGCTCCGTTCCAAAGGTTAGAGGAAAAGATAATTCACTGTAGGGGCATTTGCTTTCGATAATTCTCTATATTGTAATGGCAAATAATAATATACCTCACTATCATATCCTGTGGGAATGAAGATTAATTGTAACCAATGTCCTTTGGAAGCCAGTATATGTAAAGACAATTTAATTTTGCTTACCGCCCAATTCAAAATGTATGTGATTCTGAATTGATTGTAAAGGCTACGTAGTAAATCTGATGATCCCTAGATGGACAAAGAATTGTCGCACTTAGGGTCGATGGGTATTCTTGTGTCTTTCCAACAGACTGGAACCAGACTGCGTACGGGTTTCCAGATCCCAAGGGAAAGGAAGAAGCAGACATGATCTTACCGATTGTGCTGCAGCACCTCTGCCCCGTGTACATCTCGTTCTTCGGTCTCGGCGCAGTTTCCGCTGCTGTTATGTCCTCAGCAGACTCTTCCATCTTATCAGCAAGTTCAATGTTTGCTCGGAACATCTACCAGCTTTCATTCAGACAAAATGTAAGAGCAGTCTTCTACAGCTTCTCATTTTTATTGCCATGGCGGTTACTCTTTATCTATATATGTGATTATATACTTACTGATCATCCAAGAAAATCAGATCTTAATGAGGTAGTCTCCCCCTGTATGAAGGATCATGAAAGAAGATTATGAAAAAGTAAGAACGGATTTCTTTTATATTACATATCAGAAAATAGTTCTTCAGTAAACATCAAAAGGGGGAGCATAGACCGTTCTTGCTTCCTTTAAACATAGAAGACTATAATTAGCGATGATGAATATTAATAATGATGAAAATGAGTATTACTGATGCATATTAACTTGTTAATACTGAAGGGAGCAAATCAATATAACTATTTCAAGTAGTACAGTTATATTTCTATAGTTTAAAGTTTAGTTTTCTGATGAAATTGTAATGAAACCTGAAATTTTTCAAACAGATAAATTCATACAATTAAATACTATAGGAAACGTGAGAATCCTGCGAGAAGTCAAATATGGTGAGAAAATTATTCCACCTAGTACTTTTGTGATATCTGTCCAGCCTGTCCCCTGAGCCCCCAAGTCTATCCTTATCAGAACATATCTCAATTTGGTTTTCTTTATTGAGTCCAGATGTACATAAGAGCATGACGTTGTAGTAGCGTAGGCGCCCTGGGGGTGTCGTAGGTGAAGCCTTGGGCTGTTAACCGCAAGGTTGCAATTTGCCACCCACCAGCTCTTGGCTCTGCAGAACGTCTGCTTTCAAAAAGATTGACGCTCTCAGAAACTCTGTGTTCTGCGGGATCCACACATCCTAGAACTGACCCGAGGGCAATGACTGGGTTTGTGATGCTCATTTGGAAGTGAGAGTTCCTCTTCACTCTCTTCCCTTGAACATGGCCTTGTTCACTGTAGCCTCTCTAAGCACTCGGACAGAAATGGACCCAGCTGCTTCCCACAAAGGAAACCCGTGGTGCCTGCCCTGGGTAAGGGCTTCAGGCAGTGGTGAGCTTTAAATAGTATAAGGCTCTGGCAGCGAGGAAGCAAGAATGGTCTACACTCTACCTTTTGACGTTCACTGAAGAACTATTTTCTAAAACGGAAAATAAAATAAATCCTTTCTTATTTTTTTATAATCTTCTTTTATAATCCTTCATACAGGGGGAGATGACCCAATTAGCAAAGTAAGCACAGAGTTACTTTGCTTACTTACTAATCTGTAGTGAATAGTTTTACCACGTGGTAAAAAAAATCAAAACTCTTCACTCCACCTTCGTAAGTGCTTACTGGGTACACAATTCCTGCCAGAGATTGAAAGTTTGGAAAGATGTCTTGATTCTATAGGAAGGTTCTGTGAAGTTGGGACTGAGCAGATGCCAGCCACACTTAGAAAGGGAATCTGTCATCTTGTGAAAAAAATGTGACGTTGTCACTACAGATTAGTAAGTAAGCACAAGTAGACCTATGCTTACTTTGCTTATTGGGTAGCCTGGCGCTGCCTCTATGATACCATAGTAGTTATGTAATTTCATTCCCCACCCTATCCCCAGCGCCCTGCCCCAATGCATACAGGGGAAAGACTCAGGTATTCTAGGGTTCATTCATAGAGTATACATATCAAAAGAAGCTCAAAGTCAATGCCATTGAGGTGATTAGAACTCTTAGAGACCCTATAGAATAAAGTAGAACTACGCCTATGGGCTTTGGAAACTGTAAGTCTTTGTGGGAGTAGAAACCCACATCTTTCTCCCTGGTACAATATAGTACACATAAACACCTAGGAAGCCACCTTGATTGTCTGATTTGGTTGATGGTCCCATGAAGGGAATTATTTAGACCAGTTTTAAAGCACAGATTTGTATCTCATTTTCTGCTTTACATGAGCCAACATGTGTGAAAAGCTGACGCTGTGGCAATTTCTTACAGGCATCTGACAAGGAAATCGTTTGGGTCATGAGAATCACTGTCCTAGTGTTCGGAGCGTCTGCGACGGCCATGGCCTTGCTAACCAAGACCGTGTACGGGCTGTGGTACCTCAGTTCGGACCTTGTCTACATTATCATCTTCCCACAGCTGCTCTGTGTGCTCTTCGTCAAGGGAACCAACACCTACGGGGCCGTGGCAGGTTATATTTCGGGCCTTTTTCTGAGGATAACTGGAGGGGAACCATATCTATACCTGCAGCCCTTGATCTTTTACCCTGGGTATTACTCTGATAAGAATGGTATATATAATCAGAGATTCCCATTTAAAACATTCGCGATGGTTAGTGCCTTCTTAGCCAACATTTGCATCTCTTATCTAGCCAAGTACCTATTTGAAAGTGGAACCTTGCCACCAAAATTAGATGTGTTTGATGCGGTTGTTGCAAAACACAGTGAAGAAAATATGGATAAGACAATTCTGGTCAAAAATGAAAACATTAAATTAAATGAACTTGCGCCGGTGAAGCCTCGGCAGAGCCTAACTCTCAGCTCAACGTTCACCAATAGAGAGGCCCTCCTTGACATTGATTCCAGTCCAGAAGGGTCTGGGACTGAAGATAACTTGCAATGACCCCAAATAAAATACTACTTTCTCAAACAGAGCATTATCCTAGGGTAGTCCTGGAAAGAAGGTTTGCATCATATATGTACATACGTGTATTTAAAAAATAAACATGGTTCTGGCATATAAAAATCTACATAAAGTGCCAATGCATCCATATCAGTCAAGCTAGAAGGAACCGCCGATAAAAGCAATTACTTCCTTTCTTAGCCATGGTCCTTTTGAGTTTTATGGTAGTTTCATAAGTTTTCATGGATGAAAAATAAAGCTTCCCTTCAAAGAATCTGTGCCAAACAGAATACTTACATTTATTATGTACAAGGGAAGTCGATGTGTAATAGCATAAGAAAAGGGGCATTTAATAGTCTTGATCAAGTCTACTTTAATTACTGCACCAAGACAATGATAAGAACTTGTTGTCTATGAATGGTGCAATAAGACAACCAGTGGGTTTTTCCTCACCTGATGATTAACTCCTTCTTTCAAGATCGGAACTACTACTACATGTGCTGAATATGTAATTTGTTATTCTTTTAGTGGTGATGTGTGTTCTTTTGCGCACAGACAACACAAAATTACATAAAAATTCGTGAACAATAATGCTTCTTTGTGTGCAAGCAGATAGGAAAGTGGAATACATCTTTGCAGAGAAGCCCTGAGCTTCTTTGCGTACATGTACAACTATACACAGAGAATGTCTGCAGCAGAGAGGATGAGTAGGCAACTTTAAAGCAATAAATCAGGATGGCCATTAAGCAGAAAGCTAAGGTCTAACAGTCTATTTTTATCTTCATCTGAAGTATATAAAGTCTTCCATCATGAGGAAAATAATGGGTATCTAAGCTTACTATCTAAATTACCATTGGAAGTAAAATGGAGCCATATGTAAGGCTATGTAACATCAATTAAGGTTAAAGGGAGAGACAAAATGATAAATTAAAATGTTTTCCACTGAATATTGAGTGATAGAAATTCCCATAGTACATCTCCTAATAATAAAATTAGAGAGGCAAAACCCACTCATGTTTGGATATTCAGGAAGAGGGGGGGTTGAGTATTGAGGGGATCTACTCTGTGGTACTTTGTGCATTTTTTTCACATGAACTTGTCTTAGGGATTAGACAAATCACTACAAAAGTACATGGTGAATTTTAAATGCTGATGAAAGCAGAACGTGAAAATAAATCCTACAGGAGAGAAGCCATCAATTTCACATTTGCTGTCGACAGAACTTCAAGAGTTTTGTCATTATGTATTATTTTGCTCCTTTTATGGAGTTTCAAAGATATATATTTATATGAGAAACGCATACATCTACACACAATGATTTGTATTCATTTTAGAATGTTAAATATTTTCCTACCAGTCACATTGTAGAAATAATTGGATCTACAAAAGCAAAATGAACCTATGAGTTGAAAAATTATCTAAGAATGCCATCCAATTTAAAATTAAAAAAAAGAAATCTAGGCTGAATTGTTCAAGCTAAAGCAGTTTTCAGAAAAAACATTTTTGTATGATGCATAGTTAACTCCATGTTGTCCATTAAATATTAAATGGTATGTTCTTGATGCAAAAAATTATTTTCTTAAATTTTAATTGGAATTATGTCAAAACCTCACAACTTTATCTCCTTTCCTTAGTAAACATGAAACAAATTTTCAGGAGAGTATTTTCAGAGTGAAACTTTTGCATGTTGTATTGTCCGGCATTTTCAATGCTTGATTAAAAGTTAAGGATGAATATGATCTATGTATTAAACATTGCATATACCTAAATGAAAAGAGAGTTCTTTTCACTTATCTATTTGCTCCTCACCTGCTCCATGCTCAGTACCCTATGGAGTACTTGGAAGGAGTGGATTTCTGGAACCAGTAAGTGTTGATATCTCAAGACAGGGACTGAGAAAAGAGCCAGAGGCAAAAATAAGCTAGAAAAGTGATACATTAAAGCTTTTGATGTGCAAGAGTAATTAGAGGGCAGAGATTGAATTTCCTGACAAACAACATTCAGATGCGCTAGCTTCTAGGCTCTCACTAAATAGTGATGTTTAGCCCCTCCATCATCACGAGGTTTGTTTCACGCTTGGAGGCCCTGCGTCCATGGAAACATGTCACTCCTTAGAAGAGACTACCCCAAAAAGAAACCTGGACTCTTTACAGACATTATACATTCAATTTGGTTACGCATCAATTTTCCAAACAAATATATATCATATAAAATAGAACAACTGAAAATAATAAACATTAATGGTGAACTTTTCTTCCATTTCAGTCATTTAGTATAATATAAAGATATAGAAAAGTTTGTGTACTATAAAATATTAATAACTGGATAATATAAATAATCTAAACAATAAAAGTTATATTTTTATCTAATCTACTTTCTCATCCCTACTCTCAAACTAGATATATTGAAAAAACTAGCTTAGTGAAAATCCACTAACAGGTGTGCTAAATATTAGGACAATTGTTTTAAGTACCCCCACATCCCCGAAAAGAAAAAGATGAAATGGAATGAGCCGTGAACATATGAGTCTGTATGTTTTATGCACACAATGCTCCCCAGTTTCCAAGAAAGGAATGAGTTGTAAAACATGAGAGGTGATGCTTTCCACTCACGAACCCAAACTCGTTGCTACTGAGTCAATTCCTACTCAGGGCACCTCACCCCTCCGCTTTATTCTGCCAGGTGGCTTTTCATCTGCCAGTTTAGTACAGCGGACCTGCTTGTTCAAATGACGTTTCAATTAAAATAAACAGCAATGTTTCAAACACCGGCTACGTTCTCCACTGGAGATATTACTTGTAGATAAAGCATTGGAATAAAACATATGTTTATTTTCATACTTTTGTAACATGTGTTTTGGGTAATCTTAATTTTAATTTTTTTGCCACATAGTCTTCAAAATATGAAGCTTGTAGCTAGACTGAAATATCAACAATGAACTTTCAAACATTCAGTGTCCAAATCTAACTTCATTGCTATTCTTATAAGTAATGAATTTTATGTGAATATAAAATGGATGTAAACTTTAAAGAAGTGCTTCTAGTTTCATGGACGTTGTCTCGTTTCATGTGAAAGTGATGACTTAGCATTGTATTTCAAATGTGCTTTAGTATAATGTATAATTTATTCCCAGTTTGCTACTGAACACAGATACATATAATTATTCTAAAACATATATTTTTGTCTGTTAAAATGTTATATCAAAATATGCTTAAAATAAGTAGATTTGCAACTATATATAAATATATATATATGTAAATGTTTCCAAGGTAATGGTGTTGAATTAAATTGTGCTGGTGCAACTCGGGATATCATTGTCTAGGTTTGGATTTGGGGGGCCCAGTCTTAAAACAGTTACAAGTGGTGCATTGAGGAAGCTGTGGCATGAAGTATAACAAGGTGTCCTGCAACTGGAGCATAAATGAGTGCCAAGTGGAAATGCTGCACTTCTCCTATGTCTCGGGGCAACATATGACTGCATATCTCAAAACAAACGTCACTTTATCTTTCTTAGAAAAGAAGTTTCACCTGGGTACATAGCTTTTCTTTGAGCCAACTAAATCAAGAGAAAGAAAATCAATTTCATTAATATCAATATGATTTTCATCTTAAATGTCAAATTAATATTTGATAGTTGTTGACTTAGACTACACAACAGGTCACTAAGACATGAACTGGTTCTCATCATGCCCTAAATAGGGAGTTCAATAAAGAGCCATGGTCCTACACTGGGTGAAACATCACACAGTTTACCAAAAGTCAGCAGTGTGGACCCATCAGCCAGTTTGGAAGAACGTTAAGGCAGTCTGCTTCTGTAAAGATGCAGTCTTCGAAATCCTGAGGAACAGTTCTGTTTTGTCCATAAGTTCCCTGTACGGCAAAAGAGACTTCATGAGTAAAGATTTCTTTGTTAACTTTCATGTATTCCTTATCCCTAATCTAACTGGTTCTTTCTTTAAATATTAAATTATACAACTCTTAGAAGCACTCTTATTCTTATGAGAGCTAGTGCCTTTGCATGGATATGAGGAATTAGAGGCTTATCATGAGATTAAGGGAAAATGAAAGGAAGTATATGCGTATATGCACATATGACAGAGAAATGTCACAATAGTTTGTCTTCTATGATGAACATACTTCTGAAGAGTACCCAATTCTGCTTTATCCCAAATCTATTCTAAAGGTAGAAATAACAGGAGCTAAATAAGTGATTGTTCACTATTAAGGATTATTTTCAGTTTAATCATTAAGTTTAGAGAATTTAAATTTGATCATTAACACTCTCTTTAGATCATTTGTGAGAGACCCCATAAGCAACAGAATATTGAGAAGTATTTCTACATTTCTTACAGATGTACACTTCCTTAGAGAAGCATTTCAAACAATAAGAATATAAAAACATGTTCCCATAAAAATTCTCCAGGATCAAAGAGTAAATGGTAATTTTTGCTTTATTTGGTTTCTATGTTTGCAAGATGTGTTTTTGTTTATTTCATTTAAAAAATTAATTCAAATTATTTAAAATGTAATAAAAATTAAAAAGATATAAAAATGAATTTTTTGATTTGGAAAACATCCAAATCGACCATCTAAGCTCACAAACATGAATGCTGGGGTTGTGAGTGGGGAAACACCTGTTGATAGGTACCAATAAACATTTAACATCAGGTTTTAAGTCTTCAAAGTCAAGAAAGGATTACAAACCACATGACTCTATGTAGGTTAGAATGTCCCAAGAACAGATGGCCACGGGCCTAAAATGAAAGCTATGCCTTAAGTGCAGGAAGCCGTCTAAGTTGAACCATGCAAATAATTGCAGCCCCACAGACACGGGTCGGGTCACAGAGCTTGAATACACACAATGGATACCGTGTGCTCTATTTTCTGTTCATCAACATTAAGCACAAATTTCGCCTTCAGAAACAATCTAACCTACATAGGGTTTGAATTTTAATGGTATATAATAGCAGCCCTTCCATTTCATTTTAGTTTCCTAAATTAAATAAAATTACATTTAGTAAACTATCAGCCGCATTTTAGTTCTCAGAAAGAACTATGAATTTCCGGGGGAACGTTTCAAACAACAGGTTTTAAAAACTAATATTAAATAAACACACGTGACTGTGACCTGTGTGTTTTA